CATTTACCACTGACTTTTAAGTTTTACTCTGGCAAGACCAATTTATTGAAATAAATTCCTAACAAAATTTTAGGATTAGGTTCAAAAAATTAGTGAAGTGTAGGAAAAAAACACTTTAGCAGGATAAACCTAGAAGCTAAACATGAATTGGAAACCAAATTTAGTTAAAAAAAAATAAGTTTCCATATGAAAATATATTATGACTCTTAAGAAAAAGAAAACGGCTGATGACTATGTATATGAAAGCAATAGGTGTGAATTCTAATAAATTGAAATAACCCAAAAAATTACCAAAAAAATTCAAACTAAACAAAGGTAAGAAACTCATTTTTTTTTCGATAACAATGTAGACAAAAGGATGCCAAACATCTTAGATGTTGGAAAGTCTACTTTTATTGGCTGTGTTTGGATCCCCAAATATTTCAAAAACTGTATTTGTAGTCCAAAAACATGGCAGGAAAATTTCAAACATCTATAGTGTACATTTTAGAAAACGACACCGTTTTATTAATTTCTATCTCGTCTCTGTTTTTGTGTCCCAAATACAGAACGAGTGTCAGAAAGAGCACTTTCCTCTTCTCTCGCTGTCTTTGCCTAAGCTTCACCTTTCCTCCATTATTGCTCTGGAACAACCGCAGAACTCACATTCAACTTGAGCCGAGCTTCTCCCTGTAGACGGCACCGATTGTACGGCTAATGCAGGCCACCTACGGTGGGTGAAGAGATATCCTCCAGTAAGACTACTGTTGCCGAAGCTGCACTATTTCCGCCATTGTTGCCCTCGAACAACCTGTGTTTCGACATTCAACTTGCGGCGAGGTTGTCCGACCATTGCGGCTCCAGATCTACGGCAAAATCAAATCACTTGAGGCACCTTCTTCTACGGTGTTAAACAGTCGTCTCAGCTCATCAGGTTAGTACTACCAGAATGACTTCTCGATAGTATGTTTTGCATTTCAAGTCTATTTTTTAGCAATGATACAACAAGCTCCATCTTTCTCATAGCCCCATTTTGATGTATTGAGACCTTCATATCATCCCTGTATTAGCATTCTGCCCAAACACCCAAATCTCGTCTGATTTGTGTAAGCTGGTTCAAAAATCCCAAAATTTGAATGTCTGTCTGTTGGTATGTTAATTGACAAGCCTCTGTGAAATTTTTTGTGGTATGAACATACAGTTGTCTCCAGTTTGTCTTCAGCTTCAGACGGTTATCAATTGGCAATGGTTATGCTTCCTGTTTGGGTTTAATTGCACAAAATGTCTACCAGTTGCAATTGATTATCAAGTTGCAATTTTTATTAGGCTAATAATCTCTTATATCACTGGGTTTAGACCGAAACTTACATAGACAGTTGTAACTTCAGAGTGAATTATCCATCCTGTTGTGGCCAACACTTTGCCAAAACTGTTATTGCAGGGAGGTAGGCTTCATTCTTATATGCACTAGCTTCTGATATAGTGTCGCTGTCCTGTCTTTTTGGCCATTTACCACGCCAGGTCCGTATATTCTCCACCATGGAAGTACTTCATTTCTAGCAACAAAATTCAAATTAGTGCCTGTTGTACGGCTATTTCTTTAATTCTCAGAAATTGTTACGTTTTGTAGCTGCTTTCACATCTTGGATAATAGAAAATGTGCTTCACAGTGATAATACCTGCGGCCATTCAATTTACTGCTTGACAGATCTTGTTTAGAGGGAAAGGATTTTGTTTTCACACACTGGAAGTTGATATCCATTAGTATTCGTTCCTCTGTACATGCACCTTCTACAATTTCTATGAATTAAGAGTTGGAAAGTAGTTATTAATAAAAATTGTCGGTTGAGCTTGCATCTGCCTTCATTTCAAAAGCTCCCGCTTGGGTCTCTTCATTTAAATAGATGGTAATATGTGCAGTAACCCATAACACTGGTATCTAATATGGCTTTTGGACACTGTTAAGAGTCTTATGGCAACAGCAGTTCAATTGTTTCCGCAACTTAAATAGCCTCATACTAGTATTTTTATGTATTAAGTTTAGCTCAGATTTCTACGGTTAACCTTCTTCACTTTGAGGTGAACCATTTAGGTGATACTTTTTAGAAGCCTACTGCAACTACATGCCCCCTGTTACTCGACGTGCTTGGAAGGGTATGAACTACTTCCACGCTTGGGGTCTTTATTAGATTATATGAGTATTTATTCATTGATGGATAACGCTAACTTCTCTCGCTGTCCAGCTTTTCAAAAAAGTAGGCGCCTAGGTAGTTATTCTTCGAAGTCAGCTTGTGGAGAGAACGATTTGCAGCTGTGCATCACCAACTACTTCAAGGTAAAGCTGTTTAAGCCATGCAAACTGGTTGAATTCCATAGATTAGAAAGAAACTATGCCATGCAAACTCTTTAAGCTAAAAAATTTCCTTTGCCATGCATTGTTTCCATCCTAAATCCAAAAAAGATGAGTCGACCATGAGCAAAGTATTCCCAGCGTAATACTTTCACTGAACAACACGAAATTGCATTTGCCTAACATCTATTGAGTATGCATAGGAAGGGAGAAATAACCCCTACCACCATCGGGAGTCATGTCATCCCCGAAGTCATGGCTACGCTTAACGCTACCTTCGGCACTTACTTTCCCAAAAACGCCATCAGATCGAAGTACTATGCCCTGCAGAGCCTGACCAAACTGTATATTTCATTCAAGAGGCGAGGTACTGGTATGGGTGTTGGGACTCTTCGAAATACACTTTCATGATGGATGATGGCCGCTGGGTTGATCTACTCCAGGTTGGCTAACTTGTACTTATATTTCCTATTTCATTTCGGTTATTTTTCTATTTTGTAGACTTGCCTATGTGACCAGGTTGTGCAATTCCTTTTGTACTCTGTTCCGATATTTTCCTTTATTATTTATCAGTACATAAATCTGTTCGAAATCAGTTTTTCATTTCAATTTCCTTTCGATTATTTGCTGGCTGACGACCAAAGCAATATAGCCTCTGTCTTGGGTGTTTTATGCATTATATAATGCTTTTTGTGATGTATTTTTTGAAGGTGAACAGCGACTTCACAAGGTTTTATAATAGATCATGCTATGTATTTCATTTGCTTGAGGAAGTCTTCATGAACCAAGGCGCTACAGGGGACTACAGTGGGGCACATGAAGAATCGCCCCTCAACACCGATGAGGAGTTGGAAATGGAGAATGCGGCGAGAAGTGCTAAGCCCTCGGATGTTGTTAACGTTGGTTCATCGGGTGAAGATGTTAAGTTGCCCTCGGCTAGGAAAGGGAAAGAGAAAGGAAAAGGGAAAGTGACTAAGGAGAAAAAAAAGCGCAAATCAGGAGACATGTCAGAGGATTCATTCTTCTCAGGTTCTTCAAGGGAATTCCAACAGTATATGCATGTGCTAGACAGCATTGAGACAAAATTGAGTGGTAAAAAGGGAGATAGCATGACTGGTTCGGTCTGTTCACCGTCGAAAACTACACATCGCCCTGTGGATGTTGATTCTGAGCTAAAGGCCGCATTGGCACAGCTCCTCGCCCTGAATCTAGACATAAATGTGCATTTGGGCGTTGCTGATATTTTACGAGATTCTTCAGAGCGGGCGATTTGGAATACTTGCACTACTGATATTGCTCGTCTTGCATTTGTGAGGCGCAGAGGGTTCTTACCCCCTGAGTAGATCGAGACCAGTCCAGTTTTATTATAGTTACGCTTATTAGAGTTTGTTAAATGCTTGTGTTTTCCTCCCTGCTCAGCCATTTGAGTATTGAGTTGGCAGTAGGTTTGGTATGAGTATGACTATGCCTTAACTTTAGTAGCAATCATGCCGTTGTACCGGAAAACTGTTTTTCATTATTTTTTTCCTTATTTTTTTCGCACACGCTTGTATGAAACAATTGTTTATTAGATTTTTATGTTGCCTTTAATTGTCTTGATTTTTTTAGTGTTGCATTTAACTTATGGAATTTAAGTGCTTTGCTTATAGTTACAGCTGTTCGGGTTTTAAACTTTTCTATGTACGCAAGGGTTACGCTTGTTACGTTTATTTCCATAACTTTAATATGCTTATTGGTGCATTTGTGTAATATCTCCTATCGCATATGGATGTTAGGTGTCCTGTGTATCCATCCTGTGTGTACACAGCAATCCATCTTGGAACTGGCCGTGCTTCAAAGTGTAGAAGCCATCAACCTTAACATCGTTTTTCATATCAACTTTTACTGTACTTCATTGATTAGCTAATACTGTATGTTGTTAACTCCTATCCCATTACTATGCTGTCTTATGGTTGTATGTACTTGTAATTTGACGGAAATATAATATTGAGATTGGAAATATATTGCACTTATATAAAAAAATGTCTATCCACTTGCATGCATGGGAATTATTGGGTGTAATCCATATGTACTATGAGTCTAGAGGCGAAATCTTCTACATTCATTTGTGTTTCCAGTTTATTTTTTGGAAAACTGTATTCGATTGATATTGCATTTCCATGTGGATGCAGGTTGGCTATTTTCTGGAGCTCTAGCAACAGTACGTCTCCGCAAAGTAACGAGTCTCTCTCTCTCTCTCTCTCTCTCTCTCTCTCTCTCTCCATTGATTGCTAATTGTCAGTGCTTTGTTTCGGTTGCACTCTTTATTTGTCTCCTCATAATATCTCCTTTCATGCACAAACTGCAGCACGTGCATTTTGTTTTCAAAATTTCATATTAAACTAATAGGCTACATTTTGACCCCCTATAAACTATAGCTAGCATGTATTGGTGATTACGCCTACTTCTACCTTAATTGTCCTTACACAAAAATGAGATTTTTAACATTTAATATGGTTTCATCTCCGAGACTATCATAAACTTGCCTATTAGTATGTCAATAAAGCAAGAGTTACTTCCTGAATATAAACGATAGCCTGACCTCTCGTCTCTTTTATTTGCATTTACTCATATCAGCTTGTGCTTGGGATAACACTAGTCTTGACATCATTCTCAAGGGTTATCTCAATTGATGGATAACGAGCTCCACGTTCAGAGCGGACAATTAGACGATGAGACGGATGATCTTGACATCGATAACATACTCATGGCGGTCATTGTCATGGGACTGATTTTCTTTGACCCTAGACTGAATCATGTTTCAAGAAGGAGAAAAATTCGAGATAGTGCACTCTCTGGCAGGGATTATGTACTTGAGGTGCTAAACGGCCATCCGGATCGAATTATCGAGAATATGCGCCTCTCTGTGCCCCTGTTCCTACACTTGTGCGACATCTTGGTTGACCGGGGGTACTGGCACGCATATCCTTCTCAGAGGGTTGGGGTTCATGAATCCGTTGCCCTAACTCTAATATGCTTGAGCCATGATGAGCGTAATTGGGTTTTAGCCGAGCGTTTTCAACATTCCACGGAGACAATTGATCGGCATGTAAGAAGAGTTCTGCGAGCATTGGTGCGACTCAGTCGTGATTTTGTTAGGCCGAGGAATGTTGGTGAGACACACCCCAGAATTTTGAACAACGGACTGTTTTACCCGTGGTTCAAGGTAAATACACAAACACCCAATTCTTGGTAGGACTATGAAGTTCATATCTATGATTTCCGGTAATTTGTCTTGATAATTTTTTCATATATATGAAAAGAACATTGTATTCCTGCTAAAACATCCATATGAATAGTTTATTAGCTAATATTGCCATGACTTTGAATAATTTGCCTCAAAATTCATAGGATTGCGTCGGTGCCTTAGATGGAACCCACATCTCAGCTTGGTGTCGAACAGAGATAAGCGAGCGGTACAGAAATAGGCACGGTGGGCTGTCTCAAAATGTGCTTGCAGCTTGTGATCATGACATGCGTTTTGTTTACGTTCGAGTCGGTTGGGAGGGCAGTGCACACGACGCCAGAATTCTTCAGGAAACACTGCACCATCCAAATTCAGGATTTCCAATGCCACCTCTAGGTATGCTTTTCTTTTATATAAAGGTTTGTAGTAAAACAAGTGATTTTCATATGTGAGTCTTGTATAGATTAATAGACTTTTTAGTATTGTTTCAAGGTTTGTTTAGTTATAAAGTTTGAAATATGCTGACATGGATTTGGGGCTCTCACATGTTAGGAAAATATTATATGGTGGATGCTGCCTACACTAACATGCCCGGGTTCATGGCACCGTTTAGGGCAGCGAGGGGCACGCAGCATGAGCGGGCCGCTAAAGCTTTATTCAACCGACGACACGCTTCTGTTAGAAATATTATTGAACGAAGTTTTGGGGTTCTTAAGAAACGGTTCCCGATACTGAAGGGTCCAATGCAGAACTAACTCATAGCAACTCAGAACAATATCGTGCTTGCATGTTGTACTCTCCACAACTTCATGAGAGATTATGCGCCTAACGATGAGTACTTCGATGAAGAAGCTGCCCTCGGAGCCCAACTAGATCTCCAGGACGGAGGAAATGAAATCCATGAAGCCCAACCCATCGATATGTCGCAACAGGGTATACAGAACTGGAACGAAAATCGGCGGGCAATTGCAGTTCATATGTATGTGAATCGGCATGGTGCTTAAAGAAGCTTATGTCTAGTGTGTAGTACTACTAAGTAGAAACTTTGCTTGCTTCCTATAATTTGACAACCAAACAATTTGTCATGTTGTCTTATTTGTATTTACAAAGGTTAACCTTTGGGGAGGTACTAATCGAATGGCCTAGTTCCAGCTGTGGCACCTATAATCAAGCCTAAACTTAATATGCAGCTTTTTATGCGCCTATACCATGTCTTATTCAATAGCTTGTAGTTAGACATGGCATTGAGACCAGAATTGGTTGTATCTTGTGCATCCATATTTATTCCAGCTAAGGTGCAAATCATGGTTCGAATATGTGCAATAGCTTTCCAGTCGATCCCAAATTATTTCAACAAGTCGAGTCCAAATTTTTCCATCCCAACTTCTTTCGGGAAGGAGAGCGTATGGAATGTAGATGGCGAGATTTTACAAGGGCATCAAATTTCTGCTCAAGTAAATCGAGGCCTTGGTAGTTTATTTGCTACCGGCCCTGAAGTCTAGTCAAATGGCACATAAATGAGCCATTGTGTAGTGTATTTATTTGTAATGAGTTTTGATGTATTAAATTCCAGGTCAGTAAAATTTTGTAGCATAGCTTTCACAAGGTTCTAATTTTGACACGAATTCTTATGCAATTTTGATGAGACATTGAACTCCAAAAAAAAAAAGGTGTTTTTGAAATACAGGTCAATCCAAACGCAGATTTTTTCAAATACATGGAGTTTTTCAATCCAAGCGACTATAGTTGTTTTTCAAAAACTGCTACAGTAGAGTTTTTGAAATACACCTCCAAAAACAGAGAATCCAAACGCAGCAATTATTTTTTTCAACATCAAGAATTACACTATTCTATGCTGACCGGATTGAGTTACATGAGGAGTATCATCCAAACCATGTAGATGCCTTTTGCCTTGAAACATTATCTAGATATTTTTAACTATAGGCTGTGGGGTTTGAATTCTTGACTTATAACCCGATTCCTGTTGGTAGTTTCTAGGTTTTTAATTTACTTTGCATGATCTTCTGAATTATGAAGTTATGAGTGGGATAACACTAATTTTCTTAATTGAGAATATTTTTTGTAAAAAAAAAATAAAGAAGAAAACAAAAACAATATAGCTGCATACTAGAGCAAAAGAGAAAAAAGGGCCTACATACTCATGTAGCATCATTTTTTGTCTCTATTAATATGCTTGGACAAATATTGATTAATCGTGGAACAAAATAAAACACCTCTACTTCAATATTTGAATTAGTCTATGTCTAGATAATATATTTCAACATAAGAAAATGTATCTACATAGTTTGTGTATGTTTTAATGTGGATATAGAGATACAAATGTCATTATTTAATTAGGAATAAAGTTTACAAAAATTAACCCTTTGAAATCATTACAATAATCGAAAAATAAAGTTAGTTTTCAAACTAATATAGTTTTAGGCCACATAAAAAGTTATTAGACATATTAGGTTAGTCTTTAGACTTCCAAGACATTTTATTTTTCAGTTCTCAATCAAAGGATATATTAGATTATCAAATAATAGTTGATACTCAAGTAATGAGATTAAGAAACTCAAGTGATACTCAATGGATTCCCTTTATTAATTGATTGTTTTGAGATATCACACTTTAGGAATATTTTTGGCATGAGTATCATCAAAATAAATACTTGAAATGTCCAACGCACGTACGTACTCCTATACTCGTAAATAAGTAAATGAATCAAAACCAATTTGCTTCCTTGCTGTCTTCAAATTGGTGATGCATTAGTTAAATGAGTTCTACATAATCCATTCAGATGAAAATTTTCGTTTCCACTATTTAAATATGTCTACAACACAAAACTCAAAAGGCCCATAAAAACCAAAAATCATTAGTCAAAGCTTTCTCCATTGGTTGCTCTCCATTTTTTTCATCTCATACGGATCAATGTTAATCTTGGCACCATAAACAATGAGTGATTTTTTTTTTCAGAATATACGAAAAAGGAAAAAGAAAATGATGTAAAGTGCTTAAGATTGCAACCTTTTTCATTTCCCCACATCCTTTCATGCCACACCTTTTTGAAGTCACATTATGACGAAAATGAACTAGTTGCTCTTTACATGATGCTTTTACTCCTTTAGAAGCAGATTGCTTTTCTGTTCGTTAATTTTGCTTTATCTTAAAGATGAAATATCAATTTAGGTATTTATTTATTTGAATGCAGCATAATCGCCTAATCTTTAAGAACCAGCTGCAGGAAAAAAATTGACGCATATGTTTGTCAATTTAGTTGAAACAAAATTGCTCAAACAATATTAAAATTTCAGCTGTGGTAATATAAAAATATGTCGGCTCAGAAGTAGCAAATTGTGAATTTATTCTACCCGATTTTGAGATTTTCTTGATTAGAAGCATTTGGAATGGTGGATGTATCTACACAGGGAATGGTTGCTTGCTAGCCTTGCTTCCACCAAGACTCCAAGTTAATTAAAACCATTGCTAAGCTTAGAAGCAAAATATCTTCCCTTACACCTCACAACATCCCAAAATCTTTTAAGCAACTAATCATTCTTTCGAAAACGGTTGCCCTTTGTGTTGGACAATTGACCTTTTGTGGACTTTTAGTAAGAGACACTAGAGTAATATTACGAAATTAATTATCCCAAACTTAATTTCTTAACCATGCATGCCCCTTTGACAAACACAAAGTCACAAGTCAAAAAGATGCTAATTAACTTTAATGTACTAGGGAATAACAAGACAAAATTCAGTATTGTTTGAGATCTCAGGAATTAGAGATCCTGAATTCAAATCTGTTTGTCCCTTCTCCACTTCTTAAGCCCCACCATTCCCCTGTCGGAAAAAAATTTTTTTTAAAGACAAATTTTGATAGTATTAGGTATATGTACTAGCGGAATTAAGAGAGGATTTGGGAGGAGAGTTGGGTTGGGTGATAAAGTGGAAGAGATTATAAATAGGAGATCATGTTCAATACCTCTCACTTACCAAAAAAACAGAAAAGAAAAGAGAGGATCAAATCAATTAGCCTGGACAGTTTTCCTTTTTTTTTTTTCTCTTTCCTTGGAGTTATATTAAAGGTTATAAACATAACATGTAAATTAAATCCTCAATTAATTATCTGGCAATTAATTATGTGACATATATTTAGACCACTTTATGAGTGAAAACGGCCACTATTACAAAACTAATCGAGTACCAAAAACCATTCATAATTTTATGTAAGTGCCATTCGAAGTGAAGCCAAGACATGCGGAGATGCTTTTTTGATTGACCAACCTTCCATCTCAGTCAAAAGTTAGGTAGTTAGTTGTCTCAATTCCTAAAGTTTCTTTAATTCATAGCTTTCATCTTTTACTTTACCCTGATCATCATCATCTTTGGGATGTTTCCAATTCTTAACTAAACTAGGGCTAAAGTTTTGTGAAATTGGCTCCTTTTATGGACCTCAGGTGCATGCTGTCGCTGAAAAAATATGATAGTTAACCTTTTACCCAGAAAAGGTTAATCTCTTAACAGTTTTTCCAATATTTGGTCTGACTTGGAACATGTTAATCTCTTAACATGTGCCTACAGTCTTTGTTTGGAAAGAGAATTATTTGAAATAATTACTGTAGCACTTTTTGTGATGTAATGCATGTGAGATAAAAAAGGTGATTGAGAATATAAAAAGGTGAATTGAGAAATATATTTATGATGCAAGTGAAAAATTTTATGAAAAAATTTGCTATCCAAACATAGCATTTTCAATTATGGCCAGGCATGGAAGGTAATGGTACAAGTGTATTGAAAGAAAATTTTTAAATGATGTCCAACTGTCCAAGTCCAACTCCAGTGTACAACACTTTTTTGTTAAGGAGGATCAACAGTACTGGGGTTACTGTCTCACCCCCGATTCAAACCCATGATTTGTCAATTACAAGTAAAGCATTTTATTATATAGGCTGCATTTCATTGTCCAATGTACAATACTTATTAATTAATGTACGCACTCGCAATTATTCGGTCTAGTGTATGTAAGGATTTGTCAAAATTTGCACCGACAAAGTTCAAACAATTTTTTACCAAAAAAAAATATAAACAAAATCTTATTGACTTTTGCCACAATTCATGGCAGTATTAACTAGTCTTGGTCCCAAAAATAGACTTGCTTTGCACAATTTTTCAAAAAGGAAGACTAGGAGAAATGAAACTTGGTCTTTCGTAGATTGCAGATATACGTTTTTGCACATGTTTTACATCCAAAGGATGACTTTTGTCAAATAACATGGGATCACTATGCACTCTTAGTCTACTACTGTTCCAACTACATCACTGGAATCGAGTGTGTTTGGATTGTCAATTATTTTATTTTATTTACACCTTATTTACATACACTGATTTGCTTGCATCATTAACACATTTTTTAATCAACTTTTTATCTCATACAAATCATATCAAAAAAGTGTTACAGTACTTTTTCACAAAATTATCTCAAATAATTTACAATCCAAACACACTGTCTTCCATTTTATTCATCTAAGTCTTTCTGCAGCAGAAGAACTCTGTCGTGTTTGAATATACTTCCTATATCACATCAAATCATAAACATGCATACCTAACGCATTACATATGGACTGTCGGCAATTATTCACGGGCTCCTTTCTTAGCCACAGCCCTCCATATGATCACATTATGCAATAATAGTATGCATTCAAAAAAGTTTTCGAGAAAAAGGGAGCATAAATCTTTTATACATCCACAGAGTTTGGATTATATTTAACGGGTTTTATAATGCACTTCGTATATACAAAGTTTGGATACCAAAATTCAAATCGGCATGAAGTGGCATACATCCAAAATGTTAATTGATACTGCAGTTCATAGAGCGGGAAAGAAAAAAAAACAAAGGTTGACGTTAATTGAAGATGTTATATGTCACGGGTTCCAAAATGTAGGCATGACGAAAAAGTAGGCATGATTTAAGAGAATCAAATTGAAGAGGAAAATGCACAAGTGT